CATCTACCTGCTTCCCCGGATGGCCTGGATTTTGGTGTGCTCTGTGGAGGTGCAGGGTAGGACTAGTGAGCCCAAGCTGTGGTCACCTAAGCCTAGGATCCCCAAGGATGGATGCCCTCAAAAAAAACGGCATTTCTTCAAGCTGACTCCCCCAGGATAAAGTCATGCAGAGATGCAAACTTCTGAAAGCCAGGAAATGAAGAGTTAATGTACACAAATTAACTCCATTTCCTGGCTTTCAGAAGTTAGCATTTTCCTCAATGGCTACAGAGTATCACTAGCTGTGCTGAAGTCTGTCATCAATCTCTGCAAACTACAGGCATATTTATGATGCACGCCTAAAATAAGTTAACTACTACAAAGTAAAAGAGAGGCAAGGATTTTTGGAGTGCTATTTTTTACTGGACCAACTGCATAGTTAGGAGAAGTTTTAGACAAGGTACCCCCTTCCTGAAGTCTGGAAGGAAAGGTATCTTGTGCCCAAAGGCTTGCCTGAAAAACTTCTAACTACGCAGTTGGTCCAATATAAGAAATCGCCCACAAAAACCTTGCCCCTCAGCTATTTCCTGGACCACAACAGCTGCAACACCACCCCAACACTACCACTGAGAAGACAGCCAGCGTACTATGGCATATCCCCCAGGTCAGTGTGCCAAGGACCACAGGAGATTCTTCACCTTCCTTTGCACCTTGAGGATTATCTGAACTGGAGAAATTCTCAGCCACTGCGTCAGCCAAGGCCCAGATGCTGCCCTCACCCTTCCTGCTGCTCTGCTCCCCTATCACACCGCACAAGTTTGTAATAGCCTGCTCTGGTGTGAACAAGGAACCAGAGCCAATGCTGTGGTGACTTCTGTCATTATAACAGTTGCCTACAAACACAGAGCAACAGGCACAATGGCCCAAGAGGTCCCTTCCAGCACTGTCCCCAACTTAGACTGCTACCGCCCTGCTCGAGGCACCCGTACTACACCCGTTCTAACTCCTCAGCCCAGAACAGATCCAGTGCCCAGCTGCACAACCCCAAAGGCAGGGAGCTTGTTCATAACACCACAGTTCCAGTCGGTAGTGTCTGAAAAATGCCATCACCTAGGAGAAACTGTGCATTATACAACGCCCTCTGCCCAGCCCAGTGTGCAAGCCTGCAAAGGTTCGTCCATCAGAGCCAGATTTTTATCAATTTAATCTTTTTTTTTTGTTGCTAGGATGCTTTTAAAAAAAATAAACCTACATAAAGATAGTTTTAAAATATGTTAGAGCTCAAAGATATCATCATGGAATAGGGATTATAACTTCTAGTTATATACTATTTAAGACAATATATTCATGTACCCTTTTTAGAAATGTTTTATAAATAGGTCACAACAGGCCCTGGACTATATTAGGGGCCCAATCTTATGTGGTTTGCAGAGGCTCCTCTATAGAGTAGTAAAAATCAACAACAACCACTCTACCCAATGGGACTCAGTGCTCAGTCTAGAATCCCATCAAGCATTAGTTTCAGTTCTCAAACAGTGGATTTGTGTCTCCAGAGATAACATCCCTGTTAACAGCAGTATATGGAAATGAAAGAGAACAGATTTGATTACCTACTCTCAGCCCTGTTGTCTCTCTGCAAGTTTATGTACACAGTCAAGCTCTTGCCTCTCTCTAAAAATGCAAAGTTTCAAGAAGTTAAATGAACAGAGGATTGTTGGGGTGGAGTAGATCTGGGCAAGCTTCTAGTTATATACTATTTAAGACAATATATTCATGTACCCTTTTTAGAAATGTTTTATAAATAGGTCACAACAGGCCCTGGACTATATTAGGGGCCCAATCTTATGTGGTTTGCAGAGGCTCCTCTATAGAGTAGTAAAAATCAACAACAACCACTCTACCCAATGGGACTCAGTGCTCAGTCTAGAATCCCATCAAGCATTAGTTTCAGTTCTCAAACAGTGGATTTGTGTCTCCAGAGATAACATCCCTGTTAACAGCAGTATATGGAAATGAAAGAGAACAGATTTGATTACCTACTCTCAGCCCTGTTGTCTCTCTGCAAGTTTATGTACACAGTCAAGCTCTTGCCTCTCTCTAAAAATGCAAAGTTTCAAGAAGTTAAATGAACAGAGGATTGTTGGGGTGGAGTAGATCTGGGCAAGGAGGAGGAGTCTGGAGATGAACACAAGGAGGGAGGGGCAGTAGAAACAGAAGAGAAACATTTTGAGCAGAATTTTGTTGAAATTGCAAAATACTTCTGTAACAACCACTTTGCAGTAGCTGCTCTGAAGAAAGCAGGAGGAACAAAAGTAACTCCCCCACAAAACATGCTATGGAACTCAGTAGCGGGCTGTTTTGAGCAATATACTGAGAACTGGCCTACTCTGATGACAATTTGTGAACAAAACTGTGACAAAAAGAGATATCAGATTTACCCAAAGAACCTTGTCTGACAAAATAGATGGAATTGTCATAGCAAAGTACTCAACTTTGGGCTAAAGAGAATTGCAGAAGGTATGCTGGCTATCCTGAACCCTATTCCCATAGCCTTGAACAAAGGTTATATCAAACTACAAGAATGCACTTCTTGTAGAAAACAAAGATTAAATCAAGGCTTCCTGACCAGTGATTTAAATCAGAGTTTAAAACCAATCTGATTTAAATCAAATCCACCCTGCAGAAAAGACTCATGAAAAAGATCTTTTTGGAATACAGCAATACATCATGAAGCACAAAACAAAGTAAAAAATAAGCCACACTTTAAATCCTTTACTCAACTTGCCCAAAGCCATAGGGATTTAGAGGTGGGCAGGAACACACATAACACTAAACATCAACTTAATCCATCAGAGATAATCTGCTGGAAGGATTTCCTCCAAACAAATAAAAATTATATTTGCATTATGTGACACTGATCAGATATTGTCTGAGCCAAAGAACTGGAAAGCTCAAACTGTTCACCACTCAAATGTCAAAAATCAACACTCAGTGCCACCTTTCTGAACACAGAAGTCCTTTGCACCACACAGATCACGCTCCTGGAGCAGCAAGGTGTGCTCATACAGACATTTCAAGATCGGACAGGGGAGAAGGGGTGGTTGCCTCACTCCTTGCAGTCATTTCAAGTGACATGCTTTCTACAACCAACAGATCTAGCATGCAAATCCCTGGAGATCATTAGCTTTACGTTCACGGATTCTGGAGTCTCAAACAGGTCTAGAAGAGAACAAGGCTCCTTAGTAATAACTTAGCTGCCAGCTTTCAGCTTTGTGAAGTGTGACTTGAGAGGGATTCTGAAAAGGTAAATTCAGGCCCCTTTATGTGCTTTTCTGTTAGAGAAGGGGAATTGCCTTGTTTTTTAGTTCAGACTCTATAATACGGAGCTAAGCCCAGGAGAGGAAAGTTTGAAAAATACTTATTCTGTGCTCTCACACCTTATCAGAAGAGACAGGGCTCTCCATCCCCCTACCCAAATAATTTAACAAAGATCCCTTTTCTTTAAGCCACTGAACTGAAGTCTTCTCCCTCTCTCAGCTGCTCTCTGGTTCTGGTGATGTCTCAATTTCATTAGCTCTTCAGTCACCTGATGCCCTCATTAGGGAAATTTTCTAAAGATGTCCTGCCTGTACTAATCCCAACACAACCACAGTAATTTAAGCACATGGGAGCACTAATGAAGACCAGGCTCCTTCATGTGCCACTATTTTTAAGCCCTAGTTAGCAGTTCTCCCATGCTAAAGATACACCAACTTAATTTTTTATGCGAGTCAAGCCAAAAAACCTGTTTACTGAAACTGTTCAGCCCATCTTTCTCGCTTCTGTGATTAAAAAGAATTCAAGCTCATTTCTGGCACTTAACAGAAACCCATCCAGGATCAGCACAGCTGTGACCTGCTAGTAAGCAAAATTAGTGCTTTTGCAGAACCGTATACAGATGTTTCAGACCTGGCAGCTTTTTCTTCCCCTTACTGGTCTTGAAAAGACCCTCTCTCATAGAATATCTCTACTTACTTTCTGGACATTTACGTTAGCAATGATCCAGCAATAACGCCGTGCATTTTACTGTAGCATTCTGCTGATTGGGAAAAGTGGTTTATCTTGCTTATTAACAGCAACATCATGCAAAGGAAATAAATTACTGCCTATTGCAATGGTCCCCACCCTCTCCTCAGCGATACTCAGTAGCACTGCACTGTGAATAACATACTTTTCTTTCTTTGTCAATAGAAGTTTCAACATTTGAATTCCCTGTGACTGACTAACAAAAGATACCATATTTACCCAAAGAACCTTATCTGCCTGTGTCCTTAGACCAAGACGGCTACAACCGACACCCCTGGGACTGTGAGCACCTTCAGAGCACCCCGCAGCAGCAGGCTGCCTGCAAGCCAAGGCTTGTGGACCCCGGTCTGCCGAGCCGACTCACACTGTACTGAAGTCTGCTCTACTGGGCGCAGTCATTTGCCCCCTAAAACGCAGCTATCATTTCAGGTGGTATGACGACTTCAAAGGGTAAAGAAAGGATGGTCGTTATGGACTGCTACATCATAGCTAGCTTTTGTACTATGTTGTATAATAGGGGCAGTATTTGCTGCTGCACCACGTAAAAATAGAATGGGAATGAAAAGTCATGACAAGATTTTCTTCCCAGCCTATTAATTCACCATCATCTCGTTAAAAACAGCACGGAGTTGTTCCTCTCCCACGGCAGTATTTCTCACTGAAAAGAAGTGACATATCACAGTGGCGATACCGCAAGTCAAAGGAAACCTTTGAGACAGTGGCCTGCCAGGCAAAAACTACCTGCATGCATGTTTTAGTCTCCGGCCCCGACGAACGAAGCCCTGGCTGGAGGGGCCAGGAGGAGGAAGAACACCAGCATGAAGAGACAACAGGCGTCCTCGCTGTACTCTCTTCTCCTCTCCGTTGCCGTGCAGGCAGCCACCCAGAGCAGGCTGCCAAGAGCTGTGTCTCGAGGAGGAGGATGTCACAGCTGAACTCTGGCATTTCTAACTTACCCACCAAATAGTAACGCGGCGTCTGGACCTGCCAAGTACGTCGGACGCTTCCCACCAAGGGGCGAGACGGGCGGCAAGGCAGCGTGACGCCTTACACACAAACCCCTTCAGACCGGCATGGGCTACAGCCTGTTCTGGGGGAGGCAACACCCGGCGAGGGAAGCTGTGACCTCCAAAACCTCGCGCCTCTGAACAAGTTGGCCTGTACAGCTGCCGCCCTCCCGCAGCGCAGCGCGGCCCGGCCCGGCCCGGCCTCCAGCTCCCCCCGGCCCGGCGGCGAGCACAGCTGCGCGCGGGACGGCGACGGTGTCCTACAGC